AATATTAAATAAATTCCATATTCATAATCATAGATTTAATGCGTTTAATGGGTTGTGTTGAAAAAAAGCCAATATTTAGTTTGGATTTGAAACGGTAAAATTTAATTCCATTAACTGAGTTTTAATCAAACTTATATTAAATCAACCAGTCAGTTAATTGGGTAACTCCATTAATTGGGCCATGCATTCTAATGTTATATCTTCTAGATCCACAGATGTTGTTTTCAAAAGAATTAGTTTTGCAATCCAGAAAGGGTTAGTGGCGCAGCTTGTTGCCCGTTTGCCTTCCATCGATATGTATTTAACTAAATATTTAACTTCATTAAATTGAATTTAAATTATAATTAACGTTTAGCTTATTAGTTAACCAATACAACACATATTTCTTATAATTAACAATTTCATATGATTAATCAATTATAAAAATAAACAAGCCAGACCCATTGAATTCCCATTCACTTTGATCTAGACAAAATTGCAAGAATGGTCCATGTGGTATGTCAAAACTAGCAACTTTGGTCCAAAATGGGTTTGGCTCGCAAGGATGGTCTAATAGTTTCGTTTTGTTGCGAGTTTAGTCCAATTTCCTATGAATTTTTTTATAATGACGGATTTGCCCCTTATTATTTTATTTTCCATTTTTCTTTTATTACAACAATTAAAAAACAATTAAAAATAAAACAAAAATAAAATCTCTCTCTCTCTCTCTCTCTCTCTCTCTCTCTTTCAGCAGTCGAACCCATCTTCATCACCTTCACCTGCAAATAGAAGGTGCTTTCTTCTTGAACACCATCTCTGTCTCTATTATTTTCACACCTCCAAATCAAACACCATCAATTTTCTTCTTGATTCAAACCTACAAATCGAGAGTTTTCTTCTTGCTTCAGACTTGCAAATATAGAATCAAACAAAAGCCCATCACCATATGTTTATCGTTTTTCTCTATCCCCTGTTCGATTATACATGATTTGAGAATGAATGATCCAAAGAAAGAAAACAAACACACAAACACTCATTGCAAAAAATCTCACACACACACACACATACTTCTTAGGATGAAGAAGCTTCACTTTTTGGGTTCTTAGCAGACCGCAAGAGACCATTCGGGTAACAATAAGAGGTATATTCAATTCGTCTCTTTCAATTAGAGTTTCGGTCATGTAATCGAACATCATGTCCACATCTGGATAACCACTCCATATTTGGGTATATATTAGAGCTTCGTTTTTGTTTTCTTTATTTTTTTGGTTTTAGAAACGAAAACCACACACAAAATCAAGGGTTATTTTGGAGCTTTTCCCCAAAAAGTTGTGTTGTTCTTGAGTTTTAGAAACAACATCAGAAATCTGTTTGTGTATGTATTTAGAAACAAAATAAACATTTGGTGTTGGATTTGAAGGCTTCCGCGACCCTTCCCTAATCACCGATTCATAAAGATCAAAGGGTGGATGAACCCGTTTAATAGAAAACCTCCATCGATTGACTACAGATAATAAGCACAAAATCGGATTTTAAAGAAGGAAACAATTCAATGAACCTTCTTGAAATCTAGATACCCACTGCAAAGGTGAGCGACATTCCAGATTTGTAAGAAAGGGGCAGTGAGGAACTGATGGTGAGCTTTTTGATATATATTTGATTTGAGCATGAGTAAGGATGATTGCACAAACCTTGATTTATGATCGTGGTGTTGGTGGTTGATTTATGGTAGCTGGAAGGAGAGATGGTGGTGAGGAGTTGGGTTTTATGAAGAAGACGAGGGTATTGAAGAAGATGATGGTAGATTGTATCTTTAGGTATTGAAACTGGAGAGAGAGAGACAGAGAGAGAGAGAGAGAGAGAAATTGAGAGAGAGATTTTCTTTTTTTTCTTTTTCTTTTTTTGACATCTGTAATAAAAAAATTGAAAAAGGGAAAATACCAAGGGCAAATCCGTCATTATAAAAAGATTTAAAATTTTTGGACTAAACTCGCAACAAAACGAAACTATTGGACCATCATTGTGAGCCAAACCCATTTTGGACCAAAGTTGCAAGTTTTGACATACCACAGGGACCATTCTTGCAATTTTGTCTTTGATCTATAACCTATCTCAAAAGTCAAGGATCCAATTTTCCGTTCATCAATCGTATTTTCGGTTACCATTATTATTATTATTTTATTGGTCTAAATCTATAGAGACTTGAAAGAACAATGATTTCACATGGTAGGTTGTACAACCGATAATCAAGATACCAAATAAGAGAAGTAGGCTGGTAGTGTGGTTCTATTCACGTACGAATTCAAATGAGTAAACTGTATGTTCTTTTTTTTTTGTTCGAAAAGAGTAACGGTGACAGCCAGTCCAAAGATATAGTGGGCCTCCAAAGTCATAAATATAATAAAAATTAAATTTAAAATAGATGCACCATTATAAAATTCACTATTAATATTAAAAAAAACACACAAATATAACCACAAGATTACAAAGACAACTAATTAAAAAAAAAAATACTTTTCATATCATTTTCAGATAAGTTAAATTTTCTCTGTATATATACTATATACTATATACTTTAGAAATTTTGGGTCCCGTAGAGACATGGGCCCTGAGTGACCGCCCGGGTTGCCCACCGTCTGGGCCGGGCCTAACAGTGAGAATGATTAAGGGGACAAAAGAAATACATGAATTCTTTGGCAGAAGTAAACTCGATTTCCTCCTGCTTCGATACAATTCCAAGAACCTGTCGGCCTCCTCCTTGCTTCCCACCCTTGCTTCTATCTCGATCGACTCTCTCTCTCTCAAACGACTCTCTCCCTCAATCTCCCTCGTTCGATTCTTCCTCTCGTGTCGCCGATGCAACAGCAACCCAAGGAATAGAGCGTGAGGTCTTTTTAGAAACCCATGGCAGCCCAAACGCAAAAAGAAACGGATGTATGCTATTAAATACCTGTCATTGCATATTTATTGGGAGTTATAATCAATTTTTTGAGGTAAGTCCCTATACACCCCGCCTTTTATACTTTATACCCCAACCTTAGATAACTTAACATTTGAAGTTATTTTAATGACACTTCAATGCCTGTATTTCATTAAAACCTTTTAATGAATTAAAATTACCTTATATTCCCTCAAATAAATTTAATTAAACTATATACCTTTTAAATATCCATTAATTCTTTTAAATATTAGTAAACATTCTATTCCGTTATATAACCTTAAAATCGAAATAATCGTATGAAAATAAAAATTCGTCAAACGGAATCTAAGATCGCCGAAGGAAGCAAATTCGGGTCGTTACAGCTCAATGGTTCGTGGTGTGTGCTTGTTGACTTTGAATGATTAGGTTTTGGTGGTGTTAAGTTTCCAAACGTTACTTTTAGTTTATTTTCTTTTAATTTTCGTTTAATGAGTAGTTAAAACATTGAATAAGTGGTTGTTGGTTTTGTAATGGGTGATTTGGATTTTGTAAGGCTAATACATGCCATTTGGAGTGGAGATAAGAAAACTCGAAAATTTTCAGAAAAACCTTGTGTTCATTTGAATTATTGCTATAATTCAAACTTTATAATCTTTTTGGACGTGATACTTGAGTTGATCGAATTCAAGCTAACAAGTCTTAGTCTGTCTTCAGATTTACAAGCTACTGGTCTAGTTTGTTTATCAAATCTATCCCTTTATTATTTTCTTGACAAATACTATCCATTCCCATACAAAACAGCCCATACATGTATCATTTGTGGTATCAGAACATGGATTATGACAATACAAATTTCATGAACAACTTACGTGAGGCTCTACGTGACTTACAGGAAGGGGAAAGGTGGTAGCCTAGGCGTGGGAAGCCAAGAAATCTTGAGGAGTTCAAGGTGAATGAATTTGCTAGAGGTTCGGACCCAGAAAAATACTTGGAGTATGAGAGAAAGATGGACCGCATGTCTGACTTCAAAGAACTTGATGACGAGAAGAGGTGCAAATACGCAATTATGAAGTTGAGTGGTGGTCCTTCTTTGTGCTTCGAAGGGCTTAAGGTCAAGAAAACACGAGAATGAAAATAGAAGATTTCATCTTGGGAATCCCTCAAAAGAAAGCTTAAAAAAAGGTATGTTCCCATAAATCACAGAATTGCCAATTATAGAAAAATAGTTGAATTGAGGCAAGGCAAGATGGGTGTGGCCGAATATATTGATGAATTTGAAAAATTTTCATTGATGGGTGATATAGAAGAAATAGAAGAGAAAAAGATGTCTAGGTTTTTGCGTGGCCTAAATCTGAATATTGCAAATGTTGTTGATTTGTACCCATATGTTGATTTTGACACATTATGTGGGTTGTGTTTACAATTAGAAAATTAGGAGAATGAAGTATGTCAGGGGTTCTAATGTTTATTCTATGAAGCCTAGGCCTTTGGCTAAAACCAAAACTAAGGCCCTATTTGATAGACATCTTTCCAGCTCCAAACAGATCTTTTTGACTGAATGAACCGGAAAGACTGCTTGATATGCACAAAAAATGGGTCTTTCTCAGAAAGCTCCAAAACCCAGAAAGCTCCAAAACCCAAAAAGCTCCAAAACCATATCTTTCTGGCTAAAGAGGCTGAAAAGACAATTGTACCCCAAACTCTGCCTCTTTCTTTCTTGGATTATTAATTTCTTTTAAATAACTTTTTTATTTTTTTATTGGATTATTATATATTAATAAATATTAGACAAAACTTCAAAAATGGTCCCTGTGGTTTTCGAAAATATCAAGTTTAATCCCTAAGTTCAAAAAACCTCACAGATGGTCCCTGTGGTTTCAAAACTTTTAACATTTGGTCCTTCCGGCTCACTCCGTTAGCATTTCACCGTTAACTCATTTTTTAATTTTATATTGTAGGGGTAATTTCGTCATTTCAGTTGTAACTTTCTCTCTTTAATGAAAACTACAGACCCCATCTCGAGAAACACCTAATTCAGATGATAAATACATAAAAGGAAACATCTGAAAAAGAATCAATCGTTATCATCTATGATAGCCTCATGTTTTTCCCGGAAACCTCGTCGGCGATCTGGGTCTACCCTTCATTATCTTGCACAACAGCTGTGCAGCCTTCATTCCTAGTTACTGGATCATCCGTCAGCTCCATCAAGAAGGTTGATTTCCTGTACAAGGTAATCGACAATCCAAAACCCACATAAACAAACAATCTAAGTACTAAAATTCTGCTTTAAAGATTCTTATTTGCAGGAAATGATTCCAGAGTTCCATCCATTCAGATACAAAGATCTACCCTTTATTGGCCTTCTAATACAAGAAGTCCTTGATTTGATCGCAATTATCAGCCCCAAGATACCCCTCCTGCTTTCATTTGTAACACCCTCGAATGTCTTGAACAGTCAACACTGACCCAGATTCACCATCACTACCAAGTTCCGATTTTTACAATCGGCCCATTGCATAAAACATCTCCAACTCCTTCCACTAGCTTCCTTGAAGAAGATACCAGCTGCATTCCTTGGCTAGATAAAAAATCACCCAAATCAGTAATTTGTGTAAGCTTAGGAAGCTTAGCAACCATAGATGCAAAAATAGCAACTGAAATAGCATGGGTGGTTCGACCGGGTTCGATTCATGGGTGTGATTGGATCGAGTTTTTGCCGGAGGATTTGGTAAGCGAGATGAAGGTGAGAGATATGATCGTAAAGTGGGCACCCCAGAAGGACGTATTGGCACATTCTGCAGTTGGAGGATTTTGGAGCCATTGTGGTTGGAATTCGATCCTGGAAAGTGTATGCGAAGGGGTTCCGATGCTGTGTCAACCGTTTAGTAACGATCAAATGATGAATGCTAGGTATTTGAGTTATGTATGGAAGATGGGTTTGGAAATGGTTGTGGAGAGAGGGGAGATCGAGAGTGCAATCAGGAGAGTTTTGGTGAGCAAAGAAGGAAAAGTGATAGAGGTGTAGGGCTATGGAGATTGAACAACTGAAATGACGAAATTACCCCTGCAATATAAAATTAAAAAATGAGTTAACGGTGAAATGCTAACGGAGTGAGCCGGAAGGACCAAATGTTAAAAGTTTTGAAACCACAAGGACCATCTGTGAGGTTTTTTGAACTTAGGGATTAAACTTGATATTTTCAAAAACCATAGGGACCATTTTTGAAGTTTTGTCTAAATTTTTTTTTAATGTATAATATTTATGTATTAATTAATATTATTTTATTGGATTATTAATTTCTTTTAAATAATTCTTTTTTATTTCCTTTTTATGGATTAATTCTATTAGATTATTATATATTAATAAATATTATTTATAGCTTTATAATATTTCTATATTAATAAATATTATTTTATTGGATTATTAATTTCTTTTAGTTAATATTTTTAATTCATTTTTATTGGAGTAATCCTTTTTTATAGACAACACCACCATCATCCTAATATATTTTAAAAAAATCATCCATCCCACCACTATTGGACATAAACCGGGTCAAGAATCACATGTTGAGTTATAAAAAAAGTTATAATTGCTAGAAAGAATAACAACGTAACATCAACTTAAAAAATAAACTAAAAACAACGTAATCGACATTCTATTTGGATTTTTAAATGATTATTGTGTAATTTTGATTTTTTATGACAATTTATATGTTTTTATAATTATTCAACAACTTCATCCATCACAATATAGAAAAGTAGGGTAATATTGTCATTTTTCATCATTCAGCACAGTCAATCAGATGTATAATCAAACAACATGGTTTCTTTCCCAGTCAGAAAACTTTCCCATACAATACTTTCCCAGAAAACATTTTCCCGAAGATAAACTATCAAACGCGACCTAACACATCTACAATGTTGGAGCGAGTAGTTCTTCGGCTGCACCAAAAATAGCTATTCCAGTCAAGCAAACTAGGGATACTAGGTTGTTAAAAGTACGTTGTTTTAAATGTCAAGGGTTTGGGCATTATCAAAATGCTCTTCCAAACAGGAGGGTGGTGACATTAATGGAGGATGTTGAGATACGTGATGAATTGTTGGAAGAAGAAAACAGGTTGGGTGATACTTTTGTGGTTGAAGAAGCTTATGAAACCGAAGACGAAGAAGAAAACTATGAAGCTCCGGTTTATGACACGACTTTGGTCCTTAGAACTTTACAAACCCAAGTTATGCATGCTAATTTTGATCAAAGAGACCAAAATTGTCATACAACGTGTCTTATGACGAATAAATGGTGTAGTGTGATAATTGATGGGGGGAAGTCGTATAAATGTGGAATCAAGTGAAATGGTGTCAAAATTGGGCTTATTAACAATAGCCCATCCAAAACCGTATGCTTTACATTGGCGTGATAATGATAAAAGTGTGAAAGTGTCTAAACAGGTCAAGGTGTGCTTAAAAATGGGAACCTATGAAGATGAAATCCTTTGTGATGTAATTCCAGTTGATGCATTTCATATCCCTTTGGGACGTCCTTGGCAGTTTGATAGGGATCTTTTGCACAAGGGGAGGAACAATGAGTATTAGTTGAAGGATAAGGGCATAACATTTATATTGAAGCTGATGTCATCTCAGGCAGTGCGTTCTATGAACACCAAACAAATAAAAGAAGCTGAATTTGAATATGTTAGCAAGTGAAAGGGAAGTTGAAAAGGCCATTGATGGTGGAGACATGATGTACTTGCTGGTGGCTAAAGAATATGTTTTGGAGAGTCCAAGTGTGAAAGATGGCAGCCCCATTGCTGATTTGTTGCTAGAGTATGAAGACGTGTTTCCTATTGATTTGCCACATGGTTTGCCTCCCATGCGTGACATTGAACACCAAATAGATCTTATTACAGGTGCTCCCTTGCCTAATAAGGCAGCGTACAGGTGTAATCCCGAAGATACGAAAGAATTGCAAAAACAGGTTGATGAACTTGTTAAACGTGGCTATGTGCGAGAAAGTGTAAGTCCATGTGTTGTTCTTGTTTTTTTGTGCCACAGAAGGATGGTTCCTAGAGAATGTGTGTGGAGAGTAGGGCCGTGAATAATATAACCATCAAGTATATGTTTCCTATTCCTATACTTGATGATATATTGGATGAGTTGCATGGATCGGTTGTGTTTTCTAAAACTGATTTGATGAGTAGGTATCATCAAATCAGGATGCGTGAAGGCGATGAGTAGAAAACAACCTTCAAGACCAAACACAGGTCGTATGAATGGACCGTGATGCCATTTGACCTTACATATGCTCCTAGCACTTTCATGAGGTTGATGAATGAAGTGTTAAAACCGTTTTTGGTGAGTTTCGTTGTGGTTTATTTGGGTGATATATTGTTTTATATCAAGAGAAAGGAGGAACATCTGATGCATTTGAAGCAAGTCTTTGAAACCCTTAGAACTCAAAATCTCTTTGGAAAACAGGATAAGTGTAATATCCCGACTCCCGGGTAAAAATTTAAAGCTTTTATATTCATATTATTAGGGAAAATCGATGAGTTGGAGGCTCCAACTCGTCGTGTAGAACCTGGTCAACCTGCGTGAATTTTAGAACCTACTCGACGAGTTGGAGGACCCAACTCGACGAGTAGAGGCTGTGCTTGAAAACCCTAATTTTTAGGGTTTTCACCCTATTTAAAGGACCTTAAGTCTTCCTTCCAGCCTCCCTTACCACTTTCACGTCCATAAACAAACCCTAATCGAGCTAACCTTCTATTTTGAGTGTGTGTGAGGCTAAAGAGTGTGTGTTTGGTGAATTTCTTGAAAAGACTTGAAGATTGAGAAGCTTGGAACGAGAAGGAGCTTGTATATCAAACATCTACTTCGTTTTGGCATTCATTTGAAGGTAAAAAGTCATTACCTTGATCATATTCTTGTTAGATCTCCCCATTCAAGAGTTTAGGGTCTTTTTAGCCCACTTTGGTTCCATTTTTTGAAGTTTAGCATGATTTGAAGTTGTAACTTCAGATCTGAACTCCTCTAGACCCCCATAGCCATAAATTTATCGGCTTTATCTAGTCTTGGCCTTTCCCCATGTCATTAACCTCTTCCTAAGACTAGTTTTGGGTGTTTTAGCCTCTTGCATGCACGTAAAGTTGGCAACTTTACGTGGTAACTACACCTTAGGATGCTAGATCTACAGTTTGGAGCGTTGGTTTCGCTCGAAAGCGTCTGAATGAGAAGAGAGCTGAAGGAACTCGACAAGTTGTATAGCCAACTCGACGAGTGGTTAGGGTTTTCCTGATCTTCTGGACACTACATGGACTCGACGAGTTGTTTGGTGACTGTGCGAGTTGACTAGGGTTTTTGCGGTTTCTGAGTTCTGAAGGAACTCGACGAGTTGCTAGATGCACTCGACGAGTTGGGTCAGCAAGGACTGTTAACCTTGACTGTTGAATGTTAACTTTGACCAGGGTTGACCAAGTTTGACTTTAAGGGTATTTTGGTAATTTGGGTTTTATAGAATTGGTCCTATGATGATTGTAGGTGTTTGAGTTTGGAGCTGTGATTCGGGAGCTTGATTCTTTCAGTTTAGTTCGACATTGTGAGGTGAGTTCTTCTCTTTATATCAACAGGGTCTAAGGCACCAAGGCCGGCCCTTTTGGATTGTATCTTGGTTATAGGATGATGTTATGTTAGTGATCTGTTAGATCTGTATCCTGGTTATAGGATAATTCTATGTTTAGTGATTTGTTAGATCTGTATCCTGGTTATATGATGATGCTATGTTTAGTGATTTGTTAGATCGGTATCCTGGTATATAGGATGATGCTATGATTAGTGATCTGTTAGATCTGTATGATTATCTGTACATGCTAGCTAGCGTATAATATTATGTTTTATTGTATGATTGGAGGTGGGTTGAGGCGGTCCTGCTCTTTGCTCTAGGCCAACATACCCAGGGCGGCTTGGATAGACTGCAAACCTGGTAGGGCGTACTAGTCAGGCCGAAGGCGTAAAGAACGGTCCAGGTAGGCTGAAGGCCCAATATGGCGGACCAGACATGCTAAAGGTTCTGAGAGTGGGCCAGATAGACTGATGGTCCGGTGAGGGCGGTCCAGTCACACAGTAGACTCTATATGCATGATGTTTGCTATGATATTGTTTTGATTGTATGACGTTGGTATTTTGGGGGAACTCACTAAGCTTCGGGCTTACAGTTGTTGATTTTGTTTCAGGTACTTCAGATGATCGTGGAAAGGCGAAGGCTTGATCGTGCACCTCCTCACATTTTATGATCTTGATTTCTGGGATACTCTGATATGAAAGTATTTTGAAAACATTTTTTAATAATTAATGGTTGAACAAGTTTTAAATTGGCTTGAATTTTATGGATGTTACAAGTTGGTATCAAAGCCTTGGTTCGAGTGAATTGGAGGAACAATCGTGTGAATCCAGTCTCAAACTAAGGAAAATATTTTCAAAATGATTTTCAAATGATTTTCAAATTTCTAAAGGAGGATGCAGAGTGTACGGCCAGCCGGAGCCAATAAGTAGACCCCAAAATAACTATTTTGAAAACATTTTTTAATAATTAATGGTTTTTAAAATGGTTGAAAAAGTTTTAAATTGGCTTGAATTTTATGGATGTTGCAAGTGTTGGATTTGGTGTCTAAGCCCATAACTATAACTGGTGTGTACTTGACCCGATTATAGCATGGTCCTTTTGGGTTGCCTTCACCAGTACAATTTGATAGGATGAATTTTGAGAATAAGGTTATTTATGGTTTATTAATATATTATAATTATAATATATTAATACAAAATTATTTAATTAGTATTGATGAAGAATTAATTTATTAATTTTGTGATCAAAATAGACTAATTAAATATATGGTGATTGATTATGTAAATCAATCATTCTTGTAGTGTGGGCTAATGATCCATGGTTATGGGCTAAACTAATCCATGGATAGTCCATGGAGGTTAAACCCATGGAGTATAAGAATGTGGAAAGTCATGGGTTATTAGGGTTTA